AATGTGTTTCGTGGTCCCCATTTGGCCCTAGACACCTACCTGTGCTCCAAAGTCTTTATAAAGCAGATTTTTTTTTTTTTTTGCTAAGAATTAAGTTAATGGAGATAAAAATAATGATTGTGTCCATGTATTGAGTGCCTATTGTATGCCCGGCCCTGGGCCATCTTCCTGAGTCCCTCTGATGGGAGGTACTACAACCCCCAGCAGGCATGGGCTGGCCAGTGGCTTGTGTAAGGCCCCACAACCTGCCTGGTTCTGGAAACTTTTCCTGCCCTCAGATACCTGCCTCTCCTAGGGTTGGCTGCCTCTGGGCTCCTTAAGGGCCGCTTCTGAGAAACAATCTCTTCTGGCTGCATGTTTTCCCCAAAAAACGGTCTGGCCCCAGGCTTCCCCTGAAGATGGCTTCTGCCACTCTCTCCAACACACACAGGAAAGAAAGGGGAAGGTAAGCAATTCTCATGTGTGTCTTGTTTTTATTTTATAAATAAAAATGAAAATTGATTTCACGGAGAAGACAGGTGCCTTAGGGAACATGGTATCTGGCTTAGACACTCATAGAACAGTGTGTATGCTTCATCAGGGCCTTCTAGATAAGCCTCCAAGGGGATCTGCTTCCTTTTTCTGGAAGCCACAGTTTTAAAAAATAATTTATAGCAAGTGGTTCTGGCAGGGTGTGCCATCCACTCTCTCCAATGGAGAGAGTTTTCTTTTTAGTCATCTTTTATGATCAGCTTCTGTTCAGAGGACCCTCATAAGAGAACCCCCAAGAACTCCGAAGTCCCAGCAGGGCCACAGCAGCTGGTGGGACGGGTCTGGGCTGATGGGAGGTGCCCATCAGCCACCTTCAAGGTGGGGCTGCTTCAAGGCCAGGGTCATTGTAGGCAAACTTTTTTCCTTTCCTTTTTTTTTTTTTTTGAGAGCCATGTGATCTTTCTGCCTGTTCCTATCCACTCTTGGTGCTTTCTGGGGACGATTCCTCCTGCTTGTTTCCAGAACGCTTTAGGGGTATAGACAACCCCAGATTTCCCGTACTTGGTGAGACACCGTTTCCTGCTCTGCCAACTGGGTGTATTGGCCAAATCCACAGCAGGAACATGATGGCTTGTGCGCTGGGGGAAACTGAAGTGAGTTCAGTGAAGGAACTGTCCAAGGAGGGGTGGTGAGATCCCAGGACTAGCAGCACCCCTTGGTTGGGGTGGAGGCTGGGCTGTGAACACACACCCCAGTTCCCATTCTCCTCCTGCTCTCTGATTTCTGGTCAGTGTCTCTCCTTCCAGAACCTAACCAGAAGGAGGGCAAGGAAACCTGGGTGCTGGGGTCTGTAGAGTCAGCCCCGAGTGAGATGCTGATGTAACTGAATATTTAACCCCACCCAAATTTCATGTTGAAAAGTAATTCCCAGGCCGGGCACAGTGGCTCACACTTTGGGACGCTGAGGTGGGAGGATCACAAGGTCAGCAGTTCGAGACCAGCCTGGCCAATGTGGTGAAACCCCATCTCTACTAAGAATACAGGAATTAGCCAGGCGTGGTGGTGGGCACCTGTAGTCCCAGCTACTCGGGAGGCTGAGGCAGGAGAATCGCTTGAACCCGGGAGGTGGAGGTTGCAGTGAGCCAAGATTGCACCACTGCACTTCAGCCTGGGTGACAGAGCAAGACTCTGTCTCAGGAAAAAAGAAAAAAAAAAGTAATTCCCAGTGTCAGAGGTGGGGGTTGGTGGGAGGTGTTTGTGTCATGGGTGGGGGGGATCTCTTATGAATGGCTTGGTTCTGGTCCTCGAGTTAATGAATCCTCAAGAGATCTGGTTGTTTAAAAGCGTAGGCTGGGTGCAGTGGCTCACACATGTAATCCCAGCACTTTGGGAGGCCAAGATAGGATCGCTTGAGCCCACGAGTTTCAAACCAGCTGAGCAACATGGTGAAATCCCATCTCTACAAAAAATACAAAAATTAGCTGGGTATGGTGGGATGCACCTGTAGTCCCACCCTAATAGGAGGCTGAGGTGGGAGAATCAATTGAGCCTTCAGCAAGCCATGATTGTACCCCTGCATTCTACCTGGGCAATAGAGTGAGACCCTGTCTCAAAATAAAAAATAAAGTGTGGCACCTTCCCAGCCGTCTTGCTCCTGCTTTTGCTGTGTAGCATGCCTGTTCCTGCTTTGCCTTCTGCCATGAATAAACACTCCCTGAGGCCTCTCCAGAAGCTGAGCAGAAGCTGGCACCTGCAGAGCCCTCAGCCAATTAAGCCTTTTTCTTCATAAATCACCCAGTCTCAAGCATTTCTTTATAGCAATGCAAGGATGGCCTAACACAGAGGCTGAGCAGAAAACTGATTCAGAGTTACAGAGAACAGTCCACTCAGTAATTTGTTTTGTGATGGCTTATTTAACTGAACCAGCATTTATTTGGTGAAGTCTGTGTACTAGGCACTGTGAGAGTGTTAGGCATGTTGCCCGCAGAAAGAGACCACCAGGCAGGCTTAGTGTGAGCAACATGGCTGTTTATTCACCCAGGTGCGGGTGGGCTGAGTCCTAAAAAAGAGTCAGCGGAGGGCGGTGGGATAGGAGTTGGTTTTATAGGTTGGGGCAAGTGGTCAGTTAAAGGTAGTTACCTATTTTAGGGAGGGGAAGGGTGTCACTGGATGCACGGTCACAAGGGTAGGAGTGAGTAATCTATCTTGGGGTGGGGAAGGGAGTCACAGGATGCATGATCACAAGGGTAGGGGTCATCTACTGCAAACAGGCATGATCATAAGGGTGGGGGAGGTTGCAAGCAGAGGGAGGGCATAGTAAATTACATAGTTAAAGGCTAATTTGAGTTTGTTTAAGGGTTAAATGAGAAACCCAACGTCCAGGGGGAGAATTCTGCAAGGCTGAGCAGGAACAATGGTTGCAGGTTGCAGGGGGAGGGCAATTAGTTGAGGCAGGAACAGGTGGTTTCACTTCTTTCTGTGGCCACCTGGTTACTTGTGGTTGTTTCAGACTTCCTGGCTCCTGGGGACCATCCAGAGGTGTATGCATGGGTCACCAAGGCTGTAATGGCCAGGCTTGGACTTGGAGGCCTGACAGAGAGGTGCTCAGGTGCATAGTGGTGGAATCCAGTCCTGCCCTGCTGAACCCTTTGGTCCAGAGCAGCAGTTAAGCGCTGTGGAGTGCCTCTCCGTGTACCCGACACATCTGATGAGGGCCTGTGCTCTGCAAATGGTGGTGAATTGAAGTCTGTCTGTGGCATTTGGGGGCTGAGACTTGAAGAGTCTCAGACAGCTCATAATCCCTGAGCCATTCTTTGTGTGACATGGCCATCCTTGCCAGCTGACCACCTGCCCAAGGTACGCTTGGCTTAACCTTAGAGCAAAACAAATTTGCATTTCCTAGCCACACACTGATCAGAGGGACAGCAGCCAAGGAACACGCAGAGCTGTAGGGCAAGGAGAATTTGTCTTAATTATAACACATGGTGGAAAATCCATTCATGCACCACAAGACTCTGGCTGGTGAAATGTTGGTGGATGTGAACACTGGCTGCCTTAAACCTGACTGTGATCTTCTACTTCCTTTCAAAAGCCCCTTAGCTTACCTATTATGGAAGCATGTTTTCCAAACATTTCATGTTCTACCAGGGGGCTCAGAGGTATGCCACACGTCAAATGTGGAGGCCACTCAGACCCGAGAAGATGATGCTATGGATTCAGTAGCTCCAGATTCCTTCTCTGGAGAGGAAAGGGCCAGGAGTGACTGGGAAAGACAGGGAGAAGGCCCCGTCTAACCAAAGAAGACCCCCTCTAACCCGAGGCCATATCTCCAGCATCCGGCTCAGCTTGGCTTTGGCCTTCCACCATTTTAGGGGTTCTGTTTTGTTCCAAGTGTGAGGCAGGACAGGTGCTTGGGCTTTGGAATTACACAGAGCTAGGTTTGAATCTTGCCTTTGTCACTTCATAATCATGTGTCATTGGGCACCTTATGTGATGTTTGAGAGCCCTAGGTACCTCATCGGTGAAATGGGGTCCATACTAATTCGAGTTTGTTTAAGAGTTAAATGAGGTGCTTTAAGTGCCCAGCACAGGGCTGGTGTATGATATCTGCTTGGTGAATATCAAGTCCTCCCAAGCACCAGCCCCTTGTTGAAGACCGTGTCCAAGGCTTTATCTGTCTATCACAGTTCACATCTCTGATTTCTTGCTAGCCTATTCTGGTGCCCTGGTAAGGAGTCCCTGATTTCATTCCCACCCATCCTCTTGCCAAGCACCTAACTTGTCAGTTCTCATTTCTTGGTCTTCACTTTTGTGACCAAACAATTGCTTCATCTTGGCCCACTTCATCATTTGTGTGCCAGGCTGATTTCTGAGCACTGATTTCCAACCCTGCTTGGACTTGGCCATCCCAGGCTCACCTAGAGAAGCTGTCTCTCCCCTGGAGCTTCTCTTTCAGTATTCCACGTTGCGGCTCCTCTGGAGAACAGCGCCACCACACCTGGTGAGGGTCCCTTCCACCCGCCCCCAGCAGGTTCTGCCTGACATCAGGAAGCCCACAGAACGCAGTAGAAGACATATTTAACAAGCGCTAGGCAGACCTCAATGAATGTCAGTCCAAGCAAACTGGAGTCTACCCATTTGTGATGTCCCCAGGTCACAACCCTACAGTCCCCAGTTCCAGTAGAGAATTGTGCTGCAGTGCTGTTGGGAGCCCTAACTCTCCACCATCCCAACCCTCTATCTCTGGCCCCTGGGAACCTGGGATCCAGGCCTCATCCGAGCAGTGACCTTAACCAGTGGCTGCTGTGATGTGCTGTAAGGCAGCTCTGTACTTGGGACCAATGTGTTAGCTGCTGCTTAGTGCCATTTACATCTTTTTGGCTTTGTGCATCCAAAAAATTTGTTAGATGAGGCAGCTAGGTAAACACATGTCAAAACAACCTCAGAAGCTGGCACTATTATTTTTGGTGTTAAAAAATATCTACATTTTCTCTGTACCTTTCTTGAAGACAGTTTTTTTGTGTGTGTGTGTAAAAACACTTGATTTTTATTCCGTACTTTATTACTGAAATATGTTGTCCTACCCATCCCACTCCACAATAAAAATCTCACCCAGGCCCCCCATTTCTTTCCGTCATCCCCTCTTCCACCACACCATCCCAGAACAAGTGCTCCAGGATTCCCTTCCCACTGGCCATTTTGGAGTGTGTCCATTGGGCAGCAATGTGGAAACCACCAGGGCCTTTGTGGAGAAAATCGAGGGGGTTGACGGAGACCCAGGAGGGGCTTATTTGAGGGCCTTGGCCACTTGCTCATAGGCGAGCTCAATTTCCTCATCATCTGGACAGGTGGAGGCGAATTCTTCCCACTCGTAGGCATTGCTCAAGTACCGATGCACTCCCCGGAAGGCCTCAGGGATGGTGAATCCCCGGTATTTCTTACATACCACCTGTACTATGTGTAGCTTTGGCAGCAGGTTGCAATCAGCCAGGGTGAGCTCATTGCCATCCAGAAACTTCCTCTGAGAGATGCCCTCATCTTCAGCACTGGTTTCATCCACTTCTTCTGGGAGGGGGGATGTTAAGTAATTGTCTAAAACCTTCAGGGCTTTCAGGAGTCCCTTCTCCAGATTATCATTGAGTGCTGGGTTTGAATTCTTGATGTAGGCAGAAAATTTGGCAAATATGTCCAGCCCAGCTGTGTTGGACTCAGGGTTCAGAGCTGCCAGCTTGGGGTACCTGGGAGGGCATAGCACTGCCTCCAGAAATTCCTCAATCTTGTTGGTGTCTGTGTGCACTTCAGTGCCATACAGCAGGAATGGGAGCTGCCCTCCTGGGCACAGCTTCTGCACTGTCTCGGTCCGCCTCTTGGTGTCAACTGTGGTAACGTTGAAGGTGACTCCCTTGAGCCACAGGACCATGAACAGTCTCTGGGAGAAGGGGCAGTTCCCAATCTTGGCCCCATGACTGCCAGCCTTCACGAACAATTCGACCGGTGGTTGTTCTTCAGCCATGGTTGCGTCGGGGCTCTTGAAGACAGTTTTATGTCCTATGCTAATATGGAGGAATGGTGCCTCTCAGACTTTAACGGGCACCCGAATCACCAAGGAGGAATGGTGAGATGTAGATTCTGCATCTTTAACAAGCCTGTAGGTGATGTGAATGCTGCTGATCCCTGGGCTGCGCTGAGTAGCAAGATGGTGGGAGGTGGCATACGGAAGCCCCAGCTTATGATGGTTTGACTTGTGCAACTGTCAACTTTATGATGGTGCAAAAGCATTCCGTAGAAATATACTTTGAATTTTGATCCTTTCCCAGGCTAGCCATGTGCTGTATGATACCCCTTGGAGATGCTAGGCTAAGTCATCTCATATGAAGCCTATTTTGTAAGAAAGTGCTGACTATCTCATGTAACTTACTGAATACTGTACAAAAGTGTTCTGAGTGCATTTGAGGTAGGAAAGGTTAAGCTGTGATGTTTAGCAGGTTAGATGTACTTTCTTTTTTTTCTGAGACAGGGTCTTGCTCCCATCACCCTGTCTGGAGTGCAGTGGTCCAATTGCAGTTCACTGAAGCCTTGGCCTCCTGGACCCTGGTGATTCTCCCACTTCAGCCTCCCAAATAGTTGGGACTACAGGTGTGCGCCACCATGCCCAGTTAATTTTTTGTATTTTTAGTAGAGACAGGGTTTTGTCATGTTGCCCAGGCTGGTCTCAAGCAATCCACCCACCTCGGCCTCCCAGAGTGCTGGGATTATAGGTGTGAGCCACCATGCCCACCCCACCCCACCCTTAAAAAAAAAAAAGAGATAAAGTCTTGCTCTGTTGCCCAGATTGGAGTGCAGTGGCATGATCCTAGCTCACTGCAGCCTTGAACTCCTGGGATCAAGTGATCCTCCCGCCTTAGCCTCCTGAGTCACTGGGACGACAGGGTGTATTGACCTGATGTATAGATGATGACCTGTCTGAAGTCAGGAAGTGTCTGTGTGAGGAAGCACAGCCCTCGCGAGGCGGGCCTTTGTGGTTTCACTAGTCTTACATTTGCAGACTTTCTGGACTATTTAGAAGTCTGAATGGCCCTTTATGGGGTGGGGGCTCTGATAGAACCCCTTCCCGTCCTGGCCTGGGTCCCTTCCACTTGGTTGTGTGCAGGTGGCAAGAGGATCTTTCCCCTTCACTTGCCATTTTGCTTCTTTTCCAGCTTCGCATCTCAGCTCCACCTTGTAGCTGCATGACTGGAAGCTGCTTTTTATTGATGCTGGTGTTGGTGATGTGATTCTAGAGTTACACTCTTAAAGTTTACTCCCTGCTCTGGCTGGCCCTCAGCACTATGCTTACCAAACTGTGCCAACAGACCCAGAGAGGTGACATCAGGCACCTCTATCCCCAACCAAAAAAATCCCCCTTGATTTGAAAGATGTCGTTGGCTGCTGAACAGATACCACAATGAACAGGTAACAAAACCACCTGGCTCAAATGCACTTCGTTCTACAGCCTCCGCCCACCCCACTTGCAGCGGGGCAGGGAGGTTCAGGTTCTCAGGAGCCCCGGGAGGCAGCTAGGGATGGGGAGGGCAAGGGGCCGGCCGTTCTGCAGTTCTGCAGGGAGCGGAAATGTCTGAGCGAGAGATAAAGAACTCAGCAGCCAGAGCATTCAGAGTTTTATTTGCTGTTGGGGAATGAAGGGAACAGGAAGGAATGACAAGGAGGGGAAGGAAGCTCCCGGCTCCCGTCAGGAAGGCAGGGCATGTGGTACAGGGGTTTGTGTGAAGAGGCCGCCTCAAGCAGAGCCTGCGGCTGATGACAACAGAAACCCTGGCAGGGAAATCTACGATCAGAACAACAACAGAAAGCCAAGGAAAACAAAACGCATTTGCATTTGGTATGGATTTCCTGTTTAACAGAGGTTTTATTAAGGGGGAAAAAAGGAAAAGTGGTGACTTCTGTCACTGGGCTAGCCCAGGCTCGGACCCCTGGGGTGGGCACAGTAGGGACTGGGCCACACTCTGCTGCCCGTTTCCTCCGGAGGCAGCTGCAGCAACCTCTTTGCTTGTCTGCTTCCTGTCTCTTACCTAACTGCTCACTAGAGGAGTCCCGGGCCCCCAGGCTGGCTCTGGGGAAACTGAGTCAGACAGAACTGGCTAGTGTTATCCCAAGGAGTGTGGCTGGGCAGAGCTTCCCCACAGATATCTGAGTGGGGGAAGACTGGAGAGGCCTCAGGGCAGTCCTGAGAGGGGGCAGGGCTTACCAGGGGCTGAAGCTGCCCTCCCTGGTGGAGGACAAAGGGCAACACCTCGGAGTCGGTCTGCTGCATGGCCTTCTCGCTGCACAGGCTCAGGCTTCCTCCCCGCTGAAGCCCAAGGCTGTGACGTGTCTGGAATGTTCTGTGTCACAGGGGCGCCTCTGGCAGTGACTTGCATCTCTCACACTCTTCATCGTCCTTTGCCTCCAAAAAGCTCGTTATGGATGTGCAAAAGGTGATCTCCCGATAAAATGCCTTCAATCTCAGCCCCAGCTCCTCCCACATAAATTAAAACCAGCAAAGCTGCCCATTCCACAAATCCGCAGGCCAGGATTGAGTTTAAAATGAAAATGCATCTTTAGAAATGGACTGCTGACTTCATGGGCTCACCTCATAGATGCTGAAAACCAAACGAATCGCCCCAAATCCAAGTAAATTAGCCTGATTTTATGACACAGGAAAGGACTCAGGCTTCTCACCATGTCTGGGCTGGTGGCCTATGTCATCTGCCGGATGTCCCCCTGCCCCCACCCCATCCCTGGAGCTTGGCAGGAAACTCAGGGCAGATGGGCAGTGGGGAGCTCTCTGGGCCATTCCAGGTACCAGAGGTCCTGCTTCTCAGAAAGGCTCTCCTGCTGCAGGCACTGACCAGACGCTGGGTGGCTCATCAGAGATGCAAGGTGACAGACCCCCCTGTGAGGAAGACCAAGGACATTTTGTAGTTCGGGCAATGGACGCACCTTGAATATTTTCTCGATTTGCTTTATAAACAGCAAGTGCCCCTACGTATCAGCTGATCGTTTACAATCAGCTCAAGAGACCACATTCATCATATCCTCTCCCACTCTCCCTCCTCCCTCTCCCGCCACCCCCCCCACCCGCCAAAATCACTGTCTTACAACGGATTCCGGCCAAGGAAATTTGTTAGCAAAATATTTAGGACTAAACTCAGTGAAATCTAAGATTCTGAAGGAGCCAAGTATTCTGTTTTGGCCCTCACCAGCTGCTGCTTGAATTTCTCCATCCTGCAGGACTGTCAAGAATCTGACAGTTCTGCTAACAAAAGCTGCAGACACTAGGTTCCATCACCCTCTCTCTGGGCTGGTGTGTGAAGCTCTGAATCTGACCTCACTAGAATCAGCGTGTGCAAGGGAATCAGCAATGGAGGGCAAAGGTGACTGGTGAGACACACGTCTACACAAACGCATACAGGTATACAAAAAGCAACAGGAGTTTAATTCTCTTTGTACATGGCCACAGGCTCTCTTCAGTCAGGGGACTTCAGCTGGCACCTCTCTCTTGCAGCTACGAAGCGACAGTGTGGTGACAAGCCTCATACAGACTGTCCTGGTAAGCCAGGACAAGTCACCATTAAGATCCTGCACAAACAGCCCTGGGCACGTGGGAATGGTGAGAGCCACCGCCTCCTTAGCTCAACCACAGCTCCAAACGCAGTCTATCCCAGCTGGCAAATGCCTCAAACACCAATCATGCGTCGTGCTCCTATTCTGGGTTTTTATAAAACACTTTTATATAGAGATATAGATAGCACAGTAAATGTGCTTATGAAGCACTCTAACATAGAGGACAGGAAAACACACTGTGGGGCGCTGCCCCAGCCGTCTCCACAGTGGAGAAAGTGCGAGGGTTAAATACACGTGGCGGGGTGGCAGACGGCAGGAAGTTACAGAGCGCCACGCTCCATGCCCTTCCACGTGACTGACTCATCCCACACTGAGAACTCATCTTCTTTATCCCCTTGGTGGGTAGGAGCAGTAACAGAAACAAAGTCATTTTCTAAGGGTGGACGATGTCAAACTATGGTACCGAGAGAGCGATTCTTATCCAGAAATCATCTAGAAATAATTGCCGAAGTTCAGCCTGGCCCATGGCCCCAGGCTGAGGGCTGCTCTGTAAAGCGTGGGACAGGCTCCGGGGGTCTCGGGCTGATGCAGTATCTCTCAGACACCTGCACATTCACACACCCGCATGCCCCCGGGGAAAGTGCACTTCCCATGGCTGACACAAAAATAGACGGGCACACTCTTCGACACAATGAGGGTATCTTTTAGTTTTCTCCCAGCTTCTGCAGACTCTCTTCCCCCGTTTGCTTAAGCCCTTCACACTCCAAGTTGGAACAGATCTGGAGAAGGCCCTGGACCACGCCTGCAAAGTCTGTGAATGCTGGGGAGAAAGACGGGCGGCGGCAGCTAGGGTTCTCGCTAGTGGATAGCAGGCAGAGCCTCTCTGTTCTCAGCACGTGCCTCCTCTTCCCTCTTGGCTACACCCAAGACTCTCTGGAAAGTTTCTAGTACTGCTTCTCCCCAAACCATGTAGAGAGGAAGAAAAGTCTGGTATTTTGAGTTCTGTTTTTTTTTTTCATTTCCAGTAGTAAGTGTTGCTCCAGTGAGCAGAGAAGAAATGGTCCTTGGCTTTCGTTGGGGCTGCTGCTAGGAGCTCTGGACCAGGCGTCTGTAGTGAGGCATGACTTCGTGCTCCGGCAAGTGGAGGGCAAACTCCAAGGCCACCAACACCGGGAATTCAAAGGCAATCAGTTCTCGCCTGTTCAGCCGGAACTTCTCTTCCAGTTTCTGCAACAAAAAGAAAGAAAATCAAAGGCATGTTCGTTTGAAATTAAAGTTCTAGTCTTTCCACAACTGCAGCTTCTCTATCCAGCAGCCAGTGAGTGCTTAGGAGAAATCTGCTTTGGGTAAAGCTCTGTGGAGGAAGAAAGGGAGGCCTGGGCTGTGCTTCTTGCCTTTGGTCCTGGTTGTGAAGGAATCGCACCTTTTCTGGGGGCCGCCTGGAACCACACATACGTCTTCTGATGCCATTTAATCCTCTCAGTAATATGACATGGTTGATGCTCTGTACCTCTATTTTACAGATGAGAAAATAAGCTCCAAGAAGTCAGAGAAGTTAGCCAGGGTCACATGGGCAGCAAATTGCAGCATTGAGATTCCACGCCAACTGGGACTCAAAACTCTACCTGTGACAACTAAATGATTCAGGTTTAAAGGGAAGACTAAAAAGAAAGCGAACCAGCGGTGGCTCACGCTGTAATCCCAGCACTTGGGGAGACCAAGGTGGGTGGATCACTTGAGGTCAGGAGTTCCAGACCAGCCTGGGCAATATGGTGAAACCCCATCGCTACTAAAAATACAAAAATTAGCTAGGCGTGGTTGTGGGCGCCTGTAATCCCAGCTCCTTGGGAGGCTGAGGCAGGAGACTCAATTGAACCTGGGAGGTGGAGGTTCCTATGAGCCAAGAGAGTGCCACTAAACTCTAGCCTGTGAAATAAAGCAAGATGATGTCTCAAAAATAAATAAATAAGTAAATAAAATAAAATAAAGCAAACCACCTATAACAATAAAAACCACGTGGTAAGTTCAGAAGGGAGTGCACAGATTCTACGTAGTTCAGTCCTTTCATCTTATGCACAAGGGTCTAAGTCCTCGGGAAGTCCCCCACTTTCACAGTGCCACACAGCTGGTGTGTATCTTCAACAGGGCTGAGCCTGGTGGCATCTTGCATATCCACCCAACTGGAGGGGCTGTTGGCGCTGGAAAAGGATAACCACCAAGGTGGGGATGGGCAGGAAGGGCTTCATGTTTGCTCAGGCATATTCTGCCTTGGCGCAAACCCAGCTTTTATCTTCATAAAACAAATCCCACCCACAGAGCAGATGTTGACCGCTTTCAGATTATAACTGGGATGAGATCTTGAGCTAGGTTTCTTGCTACTGTAAGTGGCTGGTCAAACCCTTACTGTTACATTCTGCATCAATAGTATCAGCTTTTGCTGTGTGGTATACTGCTCAACTATGATTAAATGTGCACATGATTTATAATTTTATAAGTGTTTGTTACATCTAAAAATTCATTAGTTCTTGGTCGGTATGGTGGCTCATGCCTATAATCCCAGCACTTTGGGAGGTTGAGGTGAAGGGATATCTTAAGGCCAGGAGTTTGAGACTAGCTTGGGCAACACAGTGAAACCTGGTCTCTACAAAAATAAAAAAGTTAGCCAGACACAGGGGTGCATGCCTGTAGTTCCAGCTACTTAGGAGGCAGAGGAGGGAGGACTGCTTGAGCCTGGGGGGTAGAGGCTGCAGTGAGCTATGATCGTGCCACTGAACTCCAGCCTGGGTGACAGAGTTAGACCTTTTCTTAAAAAAAAAAAAAAATTATTAGTTCAGCAGCTATCTATATACATCTATTGATTCTCAGCTCAGAGTTGGTGTCCAATGGTCATTTCTAGGTTCATGTATTTACTGTATAAGCTAGATGATTTTGTACCATTTCTTAAAATCTGTTAAGCACTGATCTAAAGAATATTCTTTTTAATTGGGGAGTACCTACCTTAGTGCCCTTTCTGCTTTTTTGCCTTTGCCACTGAAGATGGCTAGACAGTGAGGCATATGGGGCATTGAATTAACCATATCTTTTATCTTCTGTATTCTGATGCTTTGATATCTGGGGCCTGGCTGACTGTAGAGGGTCTGCCCTTCCCAGGGTTAGCCAAATTCTCCAGTGATTCCTTTTGCTTTTCAGATGCAAACCAACCAATCTAGAGGCCACATTCCTACCATTTCCTCCATGGGCCTCACACTCAGGCCACTATCCACCTGCCCTTATCACCCCAGAGCCAGGCACCAGACAACTAGGGACAGCCCCTAGGCCCCAGAGTTCACCAAAACTATTCAAACTAGCCAATCCCAAACCCACAAACCCTGCCTTATCCATTCCTTTCTGTGAAAACCACCATCAAGGCTCCCTCTTCCTCCTGACCAATTCCAGGGCTTCCAGACACAGCCCCCACAGCACAGCATGCCCCTTGTTATGGGCTGACTGCTGTGTCCCCCCAAATTCATATGTAGATGCCCCAATCCTCCATGTGATGGTACTAGGAGGCGGGGGCTTTGGGAGTGATTAGGTCTAGATGAGGTACTGGGCATGGGGTGAAGGGATTCGGAACCTCAGAAGAAGAAACCAGAGGGCTTGCTTTTCGTCTCTCTCTCTCTCTCTGCAATTAAGCATCAGCAAGAAGATGCCTGTGAGCAAGGAGAGGAAACTCACCAGGACCAAAGCAACTGGTCCCTTGATCTTGGACTTCCTAGCCTCCAAAACTATGAGAAATAAATTTGTCATTTCAGCCACCCAGCCTATGATATTTTGTTATGGCAGCACCAGCCAAGATACTCCTTCTCTTGTGAACTGTAACAAACTATCTTCTCAATCTGTCTTCTGATCACCTGGCTTTACTGTATGTCAAATTTTCTATTAATATATTGAATTCTAAAACAGGCATTCATGTAGCCTCCAAAGAGACCCATGTTTCCTTGCTTTGGGAGGGCTCTCCTTTAAAAGAAAAGAGATACCACCCTGTCAAACTCAATGCCTTTCCCCAAAGAGGAGGCAGCCTAGGAAGGAGGAAGCCAAGGTCTTACTGAACCAACCTGTTTGACAGTAGAAGCTCTGTGGGTCACACTGCCTGTGTGGGAATCTCTTGCAGGTACAGTGACTGCTATGGCTGTGGGAATGACCGCATGTTGCACAGTGTCTGAGAATGGATTTTAAGGGCCAGACCCAGTGGCCAGTGCTGAGGATCTTTGGTCTTGTCAAAGTAGATCATCACTATGTTCTAAGATAGCCTGACTATTCACACTATGGGAAAGGCTTCATAGCCTTCACTTTTTTTTTTTTTTAGACAGAGTCTTGCTCTTGTTGCTTAGGCTGGAGTGCAATGGCGTGATCTTGGCTCACTGCAACCTCCACCTCCCAGGTTTAAATGATTCTCCTGCCTCAGCCTCCCGAGTAAGTGGGATTACAGGCACGCACCACCATGCCCAGCTAATTTTTTGTAATTTTAGAGATGGGGCTTCACTATGTTGGCCAGGCTGGTATCGAACTCCTGACCTCAGGCGATCCACCCACCTCGGCCTCCCAAAGTGCTGGGATTACAGGCGTGAGCCACTGCGCCAGGCCCACAGCCTTCACTTCAATTGCTCACTAAGGCTCAGAATCCTTCCAGTCAGGGTCACTAACCGAAACCTTCTGAGGGAGGAATCCCAGACTGGAGCATGCGCTCTTCCAGCCTCCAGGATGAAGGCCACTTACGTCAATTAAATGCTTGACTTCTTGTTTTTTGAGGTCACTTCCAATTTTGGCTGCTAACAGCACACATGCTCCAGCACAAAGCTTCCGGTTCTGTTTGTTGAGCTTTCCCTTGAGGGCGAGCTTTTCAAAGTAGACGAAGGCCATGGCCACCGTGGGCTCCTCGAGGCCACAGTCCTCCTGCGCAAGCTTCCGCATCTCTCGTTTCAGGCTGGAGAAAGACAGGAGGAGGGAACAGTCTCATGAAAACTTAAGTTTCAGCAGACCCCAAAGAAACAGGCTACTCCATCTTGAAAGCTTTTTCTCTTTCTCACTCCCAGAGGGTGACCTGGACTGGGATTAAGTCCCTGGGAGTGTGAAGGCTGCATTATGCATGGGAGCAGACTTCCAGAGCTGGGCTTTACACTCTTTTCTGTTGGTCAGGTTGTACAGAACACGTTTATTTTTATTTACTTATTTATTTTTGAGATGGAGTTTTGCTCTTGTTGTCCAGGTTGGAGTGCAATGGCGTGATCTCAGCTCACTGCAACCTCTACCTCCTGGGTTCAACTGATTCTCTTGCCTCAGCCTCCTGAGTAGCTGGGGTTACAGGCATGAGCCACCATGCCCGGCTAATTTTTGTATGTTTAGTAGAGACGGGGTTTCACCATGTTGGCCAGGCTGGTCTCGAACCCCTGACCTCAGGTGATCCACCCACGTCAGCCTCCCAAAGTGCTGAGATTACAGGCATGAGCCTCCATGCCCGGCCCCATGTTTACTTTTAGTCTTGCTCCAGACCCAGCAGTTATATGCTGCCACCATCACTACCTCCAGGCTGACAACACTGGTGCAGCAGACCAGGTGGGGAGAGTGACAGGCCAGGGCTCTAACGACCACCACATGGGACACACAGGAACCCACTGACCACAAGGGGATGTCCAAGAGTCTCTCTAGAAACCTAGAGTAGAGCTGTCCAGTGTTAAAGAGGCGCAATATCTTGGAGAGCCGATTACAGACATAAATTAGGTACTTGGTCTAAACTCTGTAAATACCTGCTATGTTCATTAGCCAGAGCAGAAAAACAGGCTAAGAGCATAATAATCCATGTCCTTAGAGAGGCTGCCCGGCAAATGGACAGATGTGAATATTTCATTATTCTCAATTAAAAAAAATTCTTTCGCTTGGAACATGCCAGAGTCAAATCAGGATTAGGATACACACTCATGTAAATGTTGGCACATATTCCAACACCATGTTGATGTGCAGTGTAGCTTCCATTACCACACACACCTACGCCCCTAGACTTTCGCCAGCATGAGCATGGCATACAGACACCACAACACAAGCCCAGTAGGGCCAGTTGTCTTGACTATGTAGCCAGGGCATGTGGGTCACCACAAAGTCACTTGTAGCAGAGCGGCAGGGGAGATGCAGCCTGACTCTGCTCTGCCTGCTTTGGTGATGGCTTAAAGATAGGATTTGGCTGTCACCTCTGGATGCATGACTGTGGGTAGACTTATCTCATCCCCTATAGTGCCAACTATTTCCCTTCAGCTTTGCCTACACTTCAGAAAGCACAGACCTGAATGCTGCCCATTGTCTCTGAGTTTTCCATAACATAAATCTGATTAACAACGAGCTACAGAGAACATGACATAATTCTTTCACCGAAGGAACCTCCCCTCATCCGCATCAACCAGGAGTCAAGAGCTGTGCCTCGTGTCCTGCTGTCCTCGTCTCTCCTACCATACCACGGCACCAGAGAGCCAGCATCCAAGAGTCTTCTTTTGCTGAATGTGCCAGTGACTCTATCACTGGAACCACGGCAAGGACCACTGGACAGATGACGAGCTTACTGTGTGTGGGAAGGGGTTTGGAGGGAAAGGGCGAGGGCAAGTTGAGCCTCCATACCTCCTAATTTTGCTGAGTGTCAGCTTAATGTGAGGAAACTTCTCCTTGAAGGTCTCGTTCATGTCCTTTTTGAGATCAGAGGGCTTCACATAGTCAATCACTGTT